AAATATAAAATTAACAAGTCAATAGACTCTTACTATGAAAGTCATTGATTTTAGTGGCCAAGAGGATTATTAAAAATATCCTAAAGGGGCTGGTGAGATGGCTCAGTGGTCTAAAGCACCTACCTAGAACAAGCTTAGCAAAGCACAGGGACCGCGGTTCAATCCCCAGCACCACATGCCAGCCAGCCCCGCCCCCTGGTGGGCTGAGTTGGCCACACACACACACGCACACACACATAAAATAAAAAATAATAATAACCTAAAAATAAAAAATTAACACTTCAGTTACTACGGTAATTAGTGCTCTGATTTGGGGCACATTTTTTTTTTATTCCAAAGTCTCTCATAGTTATATTTAGCTGGGCATGGTGGTATATGTCTGTAATCCCAGCATTTGGGAAGCTGAGGCAGGAGGATCACCATGAATTTGATGTCATCTCAGGGCCAAGTGAGTTCAAGGCCAGCCTGAAGCTATATAGCAAGACCTTATCTCAAAAAAACAAAACAACACTAACAACAAAAATAAAGTTAGATTGCTAAATAATGGAAGAAAACATCTCCTTTACAAAAATCACAAGTAAAAAGAAAGTAATAAAAAAAAATAACTAATAAAAGTTGAAATTTTTCTTTAATATCAAATAGTGTTCATAATAATTTTAGATTAGATCCAGAGGGAGTCTGTAGGTCTGAAAAGCAGCAGTGGTGGCTTGATACCAAGTCTTCTCTTCTCTTCCCCAAAGCACCATAAAACCAACAAAGAGAGCAAAGGAAAGTGCAAGCACTCCATTCCCTCAGCATAAGTAGAACACAGAGATTATCCTGACTAGTGTACCATTTGGACAAGGAAACTTCTTTTCCAGAAGAGTTTCCCCAGCCCACCCACCACCACTGTGATGCAAGTGTGTGTTGTGGTGGTGGGAAGAAGAGGCAGGAGAGGCTGCGAAAGAGAAGACAGAAATGAGCAGAAAATTTGGGGTTTCAGACAGCTTCACCCCAGAAAATGGCAACATACTAAGTGAAAATGGCAACATACTAAGCACAGGTGGAAACCTAAGGTTCACAACCGTCACTGTGAGGATCAAGCTGGTTTCTCCAGAAGAATCAGATTCTGAGAGAAGAGCTGGCCTCCTGTGGAGATGTGGCAGTAAAAGGGAGGGAGAGAGCAACACAGAGGAACTGTACATCCACCCTCCTCCAGCATCACAGAAACTGCAGGGAGGGGGCTCTCAGCCCAGAGCCCACCAACAAGGTGAAGAGGAACAAAAGCAGGCTCCCTATAATGCAACGACTGCAAATGTCACAACTGAGGAGAAACCTTTTCTGCTGACACAGTCTCCTCCACCAAACAACTATGAGGCTGAAGAAAACTATAGGAGTACTCAAGAGTGAACATTGTGATGCAGGGGAGGAAAGGGTTTGGCAGACTGGGGCCAATACAGAAAAGATACGACTAAAATGGGGGAAGGGGTACGAGGATCATGCCTCTTGAAGAGCAGTTGGAAGGGGTCACTGTTGACTTCGCAGTGCCAGGGATTAAAGAATAGCATTTAGTGCTGGAGAGATAGCTTCGCAGTCTAAGCACCTGCCTGGCTAGCACAAGGACCCAAGTTTGATCCCCAGTGCCACATGTAGTGCCAGTCCCAGAACCAGCATGGTGGCATAACCTGTAATCACAGTGCTGGAGAGGCAGACAGGAAGACCACTATGAGTCTGAGCTGCATAGTGAGACCCTGT